GTCAAGGTCAACCATTAATGGTGTATGTAAAAATATCGTTGGGATATTATCCATTCTTCAGAAGTCAGGAATTAATTCCAATGACATTCTAAAAAAAACGGTGGGATCAGGTCCATGCACTCTTTTCTGGCAAGATGTTTGGTCGGGTAACGTCGCACTCAAATCAAGATACTCTGAGTTATATAACATTGAATCAAATAAGCATTGTTCTGTTATGGATCAAGTTAAAACCAGTGGCTTTGAGTGGGATTGGAAAGCAGACAGAATGGCGGCACATTTAAATTAGAATCTAGCACATTTGACCTCTGACATCAGTTCGTTCTCCCCAAGCAATGAACCAGACATGTGGAGATGTAATCTTGGGATAGATGGTCTGTATACTGTCGAGGCCCTCCACAAGAAACTAGACAATTTCATCCCTCCTCTACCAGGTATTAAACCCGAATGGATGAAGGAGGTCCCTCTGAAAGTAAATTGTTTTATTTGGAGGGCAAAATAGGGAAAAATACCTTCAGTTATGTAATGTCCGTAGATCCGGGCTAGTCACTTTAGAGATAATGAGCGTCAAAAATGACTTTTTGATAGAACATTATTTAAAATAAATAATATTAACCAAGTTATAGTATATGTCACAAAGGTTCTGTAGAGATAAAGAATGTTGAAATCTGAGTTATAACGAAGAAGTGATGACCCGTCGAAGTTTTACGGCAAAACCAACGCGACACCGGGAATCGTAAAAAGTGAATTTACGACAAAATACTTTCTAGCCTTAGCGTTCTAGACGAAAGTCACAGTATATGTTAAACTGCGAGCGTGCATAAAAAAACGTCTAAATCTGACTTCGTATGAGGAAGTTATGATTTTTCTAAGATTTAGCATAGCAGTGCACAACCTGAAATTCAAATTTTAGATCGGTCGATTTTCAGCCAAAATAATCTAAACGAGAAATGAAGATATCGTTAATAGGAGTTAAACAATAAAAATACAGATGAAAATAGAGCTCGTATGCGAAGGATATGGACGAAACTTAGTCTCTACTTTTCGAGCACGACAAATTCGATACAGTTTCGTAGATTTAAGATAGAATGAGAATTAGCCAACAGGATATAAATAAAAATTGTAGTACGCGTAAATACCAACGCGTGGATATAAACAACGTCAAAAACGGAGCTCGTATGTTAAAGATATGGACGAAACTTAGTCTCTACTCTTCGAGCGCGGCGAATTCAAATACAGTTTTGTAAATCTGAGCTACAATGAGAATTAGCCGACGGGATCTAAATGAAAGTTGTAGTACTTGTAGATACCAATGTGTGGATATAAATAACATAGAAAACGGAGCCCGTACACGGAAGATACGGACGAAGCTTACGGGTTACTCTACGATAAAATCCCTATAAATAAGAGATGAACTATTCATAATTTCTTCACACCATAAGCCTTTCTTTCTCTCTCTAACTTCTCTCTAGCCTCCCTAAACCCCTCCCAAGTCTAGGGAACCTCCCTAGCACAAGAAGGAAACCCCGAAGCGCTCGACGGCTCCGAGAAGAAGAGCTTTCGGTTCGGAAATGCTGCTCCAGCGAAGTCCGATTTTTTTTTTAATAAAAATCCGCTGTAAGTGAGCTACGCCTACACTATTTCTAATATAGTTTTTATTTAAAATATAGTAATGTTATTAGGACCTTATAATAATTATTTGGGCTATTATTATTAGTTATATAAGTGTCGTTATAATATCTTTTTAACCACTCGCGGTACAGGGAATCTGGTTTAAAGGACCGCATAGGGTTGTTGGATTTTAGAAGTGCTATATGCCAAAATGGTCCTACCCTCCGGTGTTTTATGTCTGACCCTTGTCTCTACATAGTGGTTGGAAAATATTATTTAAATGCTTATAATAATAATAATAATGCTAAAACTAATAATTAGTCACAGTAAATATTAAACTAAAATCTAGTGATAATAATACTAGGTTTTGTCGAAAGAAATTATATTGTTAAGAAGCGAAGCGCTGTCCGAGTTAGGAATAATCACTTTAACAAGTGAGTGCATAGTTACTTTCATCTTACACATAGATATGAAGTATTTTATATAAATTACGTACCATGTGTGCATATTATCTGGATACTTGTTGTCTATTCTGGATGAATGATTTTATACATGTTTTAAAGGATTTAAACTATATATTTATTTTATATCTAGAAATATGTTGGGATAAAATATGGGTAGATGAAATAGTTGATGTGTGATGAAATAAAATGATGAGAGATAGGTGGTGATAATTAGGTGAGGATAGATAGGTGATGATGAATCGGTGATGTAGGATGAAAGATACTATAATCTTGTCTGACAATTTGGAGATGTAGTCATCTACCAGAGTATAGATGGCGACCACGGCCTATTAAAGAGACAACCCCGTGGAAACACCAGTAGGCTCATAACCTGTAGGTGATGAATTACGAGTTCATGCAATGTTGTAACTACATATTTATGCGATGATACTCTAACCCCTTACTATGAATTACGAGTTCAAGCGATGTTGTAACTACATATTAATGCGATGATAACCTAACCCTTGTTGGGCATGTATTGAGGGAGTAACCCCTGAATCAATACTGTCTATGTGATGTAGGCGATGATCCTTAGGGAGTGTCCTTAGGAACAAACATATAAGGAAATGCGATGTAAGGAGATGAGAGGTAAATATGATGTAAGAGACGACCCTTAGGATAAATCCTTAGGGAAGGTACTTGGGAATAAAGAAGATAATGAGGATGGGTAGTTGGGTTAATCGTTTGATGATTAAACATAATAATTATATTATTGTGGGTTGAAAACCCTATATACTCACCAGGTTTCCCAACCTGAACCACTCAGTTTACTTGTATCACAGGTGACGATGTGAAGTTACATTACACTGAGAGATTAAGGAGATATAGATCACTAGTGTAAATGAATGTAAGTTCTGTTTATGCTTATGTTTCTGTATTAATGATGACATCCCAAATGTTTTAAAAGGAATAAACATGCATTTCTTTGGAAATGGTTTGATAATGAAATTATCATGTTTTTCTAGGAACAAATTCCGCAATGTTTTTATTGAAAGAGATACTCTGATTTTTATAAAGCATAAACAAAATCAGTCTTTTCTGGTCGTGAAAATGGGGATGTCACAAGTTACAGCTCTATGGGTGTCATACAATCATTGGTGACATACAATCATTGGTGTTCCTTTGGCTGAAACATAGGGTTTCTATGGGTGTCATTAGGTGGTGCGATTGAGGGATGTCCGCTTTGGCTTGTCTGTAACTTATACACTTCCATTTTCCTTTTTTTTTTTTAATCTGTACTTGCTTTGCTGTTGGTTCATCTAACTTCTTGCTAGGTGATGCCCATTTATAAAACTGTTTAGCCATATCCAAAAAAACTTAGGGTTTTCAATCTTTGGTTATCACGCGTAATGGTTTCATAGTATTGAATGTTCGTGGCAATGAGTAAACGTGTGACTTTTGGTCAAACACATGGACCATTTATGTAATTTTGTCTTTTATTTATGGTTAATTATGTATCTACTTAGAGTTTGTTACTAAACATGTCTACCTTAATAAATAAAAATGATTTTGCCACATGTCATCTTCTACTTTATTTTGACACTTGTCATTTTTTAGATTTTTTGAATTATTTAATATCCACTTGTCATTTTTATAGTTTTTTCTTTTTTTATTCAAATCTCACATATTAAATGTCACCTCATATTAATTAATTTTATAAATATATCAATTAATGTAGTAATAACTTTCTATTTTTTTATTCTTCTTTCTATTAATATATTAAGTGTATATTAATGTAGATAGTATATTCCATTTGTGAATTCATATTAATTAATTGTATTAGTATATATTAATTTAGACCAAATTACATAAATAGTCTATGCGGTTTACCAAAATGTCACAAACTCAATCGTTATTTATTTTTTATGAACATGGTTTTTGTGGTTACCAAAACTTTCTTTGAATTAACACGTGTAATATACGGGTTTCACACCTAGTATTAATGATTCTTGATGATTAAAAGATAATCCACGGAATAATCTATTCTAAAAAAAGAAACACGCCACATTGCTCCTAATGTATTGTATACCAAAAAAAAAAACTTTATTTGAATGATATAAATATAATAGGAACAAATAAAAATATGATTATAGTTAGATTTGTCATAATATACTTATAAATATCATGTTGTTGAAATGAATGTATGATGTTGTGATAAAAAGAAGTTCAAAATAGGATGTTATACTCTAGATAATAAGGTTGTTTTACAAGTATGATGTTGTAATAAAAAGAATCTCACCCAATGGGTATTACAGGATTTATTCAATTTCAAACACCCCTCACTAATTTAGGAAAACGATTGCTTCCTCGGCAAGTATGTTTGGAAGCTTTTTCGGCAAGTTGATTTAGGAGAAGACACGGTTTCTCTTTCCGAGTTTCTCAACAGTTATTTGATCATCTATAAATTCTGTGAACGCTTGCTCACTCTCAAAGCGCCTTTCTTCAATTATCCTTTTCTAATAATCGCGACTCTCAATTCTGAAATATTACAACATCACAGTCACAATTCCATTCCGATGTAAGTTTCTTTGTTTAATTTAATTAAATAACTGTTGATTTATTAATCGTTTTATTAATCGTTAAATGTTGATCTGTTTAATTCTTCTACTTTTTCAAAGAGTCAAAGAATTCGATAATTTGACTTGAGTGATAACGATAAGTGTTCCATCATGTGATTAGGGCTTTTTTTATTTGTTTAATCGTGACTCTCTCACAGCCACACTTTGTTTTTACTTTAACTTGTTGTCTATGAGAATATGCTAATTGTTAAGCTGTGTAAATTATGTAATGAGGAGACATGAATATGCTAATCGTTAAGTTGCATACGTAATTCTTTTTATAGATCTGGGAGTGATCAAAAGGTAGAAAAAGAGGAGGAAGATGAAGATAATGGTAAAGGAAGGTAGTTGGACGAATACAGAGGATGAGATCCTCAGGGTTGCTCTTTTGAAATATGGAACCAACGAATGGTCTCGTATCTCTTCATTACTCGATCATAAATCCGCTACGCAGTGTAAAGCACGTTGGTATGAATGGCTTCATCCCTCCATTAAAAAGGTATGCAATTTGTTCGAAAGAATTTATGTGTTAGGTCACTAATAAATAAATCCTTATTATTTGTTATTTCTGTAGAACCTTTTGATCAAATCCTGATTGTCTTTTTTTTTTTTTTGGAACCTTTACAGATTGAATGGACTAGAGAAGAAGAAGAGAAGCTGCTTCATCTTGCTAAGCTCATGCCCTCTCAATGGAGAATAATCGCTCCTATTGTGGGATGCACTCCGTCACAGTGCCTCGAACATTACGAGAAACTTCTAGATGAAAACTTTGAACCAAGAAAACTACAACCCGGAGAGATCGACCCAAACCCAGAATCAAAACCTGCTCGACCCGGCCCAGTTGACATGAATGAAAATGAAAAACAAATGGTTTCAGAAGCACGGGCTCGTTTATCCAACACCAAGGGAAAAAAGGCCAAAAGGAAGGCCCGGGAAAAGCAGCTTACAGAAGCTAGACGCGTTGCTTGTTTGCAAAAGAGGAGAGAATTGAAGGCGGCCGGAATTGATAACCGGAATTGGAACGGGAAAAGGAATAGGAATGGAATCGACTACAATGCTGAGATTCCGTTGGAGAGAAGGCCACCACCTGGATTTTATGATGTGGCTGGTGAAAGTTTGTTGATTGGTGAACAACGTAATAAATTCCCGACAACGATTGAGGAACTTGAGGGTGAAAGGAGGATCGATAAAGAGGCGCGTTTGAGAAAACATGAGATTGAAAGGATCAAATTATCACAAAGGAAAGATGCTCCATCTGCTATATTTCATGCAAAAACACTAAATGATTTGGAATCCGTTAGAAAAAGGCCGAAAATGAACCTCCCGACGCCACAAATTTCAGATTATGAATTACAACATATGGAAAAATTCGGTCTTCAAGATTTCAGCCATGGATTTTCATCTTTTTAATTGTAATTTTCATACTGTAATTAGCGATTGTTGCGAATGCTTGCACATATTGGAAGGGTATAATATGATTGTGTAGGTCATTTTTATTAAATCCAAAGGTTTTAATTAAATATAAATCCATGATATGTGCGCCTATAGTTTCACATGATTGTTAAGCTTCGTATTTCTTTTGGTTTTAACAACATTTAATGGATAAATTTAATCGGTGATCAATGATTATTTGTAACGGTTGTTTAATAATGCTTTATCATCTTTCGTAGTAAATATCACCCTCAATCATGAGTGCATTTTTTTAGATTTCACTTAAAATTTGGGCATTTAATTCATTTTTTTATATTTACGTTTAGCTTATTTTCATATTAATAATAAGTTGTTATATAAATTTTTATTAATATGTACATATTTTTTTTATCGTTTATTTGTCAATTAACTGCGATTTCATCACAATTTTGTATTAGTTTTATTATTAACTTAAAAATATTAATTTTTTTAAAACACTACAACACAACATTTTTCATATATTTTATAAGTTATATAAGACTCAAATTCATTATGTCATGTCCGCAACATAAAAGTAAAAGAAACTTATAATTCTATTCCAAGATAGTATAGTATTAAAACAAATGCAAGGTCTCAATTTCTTTCTTATTAAATAACAAACTAATGTTAAGGTAAATATCAAAACATAATATAATTATTTATTAATACGAGAGATTCTAACATAAAATAACAACCTAATTCAGTATTAGTTGTTGATAGAGTTCATGCGATAAGTTAAAGGCGCATGACTTTTATAACCGTATGTAACTATATAATAACTGCCATAAATCTTAATAGATATTTTGATCTAATAGTTTTGATGTTAGTTATATGGTTAGATCATATAACTTTTTTTTGAACTTCTTCAGATCAAGATAATCAACATCATTTTAACTAATAAGTAGTGTAATTAAGTGTTACAAAACAAATGTTGGTACATAAATTTGTTGGAAATTTTTTAATATTTATATTTTTACTAATTTTGGACATATATGAATATATATACATATGTTGTATATATAATTAAATTCTAAATAAGTTTGTGTTATCCTTCGTGAGAACTTCGAAAAGATATATTATACGTTCAAAATGAAGTATTTAACCTAATAAATGAAAATGATTTTTGCCACATGTCATGTTTTCTATTCATTTGCCACATGTAATTTTGTGGGATTTTTTTGAATAAAATTAATTCCACATGTCAATTTGTGGTGTTTTTGTGATAAATGATTAATTAATGTAATTAATGTATTTATTTGATTAATATGCTATATTTCCAAAAATGAAGAATATATATGGTATATTTCCCTTACTTTCCTAATATGTCATCAAAATTTATTCTACCAATCTAAAATTCACACTAATCCTATATCCTTTCCAAAATAATACAATATTTCTTATATGATATTTCAACTTACCATATAATTAATCACGCATATTATTTCAATTTCACATCACATACTACTTACTTTTCCTACAAGGAAATGTGATTTGAATTATTCAATGGACTTCAAGCCATTGTATCAAAACATTAACTATTAAAATAAAGGTTAAAAAGTAACATAATAATATTTTGTTTCCTATTAATCTAAATGTTTTTTTACAAAGATAGGTGCAAAAGTGATTAGTCACCAAAATGGTCAATACTTCTTATAAGGACGTAATATATATTGTTGAAATGTTAGTATTACAATGAATATTTTGTGAAGTAATTTCCTATAAACATATCTCTTTTCCAAAACAGAATGTGAATGAATCAAAATGAATTTGTGTTGGAGATTATTTATGCTCTATATGAATTTCATCCAATATTACTGGAAAGAGTATAAAACTACCTCTTAAACCCTTATAACCATTTTTTTTTTTATTTTTTTAATATCTTAATATTTAATATTTTATTAATCAACTCGTGTAATGCACGAGTCTTACACCTAATTTTTCTAACAAATGAAAGATTTTATCAGAAACTACTCAACTAACAAGTAGAAAATTACATAATAATTAATACAATTCAAGGGGTTTTGTAACCATGAAATCCAAGGAAGTTAAAGTTTTTTGTTCCTTGAGCTAAGCCAATCAAAAGTCAACATCAATGTTACACCTAATTAACTTCTCCAACCAAGAACCCACCTTCCACCGAGAGCTCCCACTCCAACCTGTTACTAAATATGTTAGTAAACTTATAAGTTATTATTAAATACACTCATTTATGGTAGTAACAGCTGTTTTGTTGCCAAATTAGGCTAACAAATTGTTTGTTTTTGCTTGATAAGGTACTAAAAAATTCATTCCAATTTACGTAACAAACTATTTTGTTGTCAATTTGATTTTGTCACTAAACTTAATTTTATTTGTCATTCAAGTCTCTCTCTCTCTCTCTCTCTCTCTCTCTCTCTCTGGTAGAGAGACGTATTATCTAAGTTTGATTATCGGATGCTATTCTCAAGAGGGACGACCTTAACAATGTCTATTTTGATGCGTACTGTCAGTTATCAAGTCGGAAACCCTCCAATGCTTAATCCTACGTACACTCGAGATCCTTAACTAATCTGGTGTGATGATCACTATTGGTATCATCATTACTCCCCAAAATTATGACATGTCATGGCTAAACAAACAAGAAACATGTTTATTAAACTGTAAAAGAAGCAGTTGAATTATTTCATCATAAATCAGTGATATTTGAAAAAAAAAAGTGTGAAAATAAACGAAAAGTACAGATATACAATTGATCATTCATTAATGTAATTCATAAAATTACAACGAAATGAAAACCCTCTTCCGACATACTTAAGCCATCGCAAAAGCTGATCACTTTCTTGAGTTAAAATTTATAGGAACTCCAATAAGAGAAGTCATAAGAACATTAGCAGCAATTTTCCCCACATTCGCAAAAGTACTCGACTTATTCCCTTGCTGCTGCTGGCGGTTGATCATCACCGGCTGATTATTATAACCACCGAATTGTTGATTCTGATAACCACCAAACGCCTGCTGTTGTTGCAGTTGCTGGTGGTGGTGTTGGTTGATTATCACAGCTTGATTATTATTATTATTCACTCCTTGATATCCACCAAACGCCGTCGTAGATACACCTTGTTGCTGCAGCTGCTGCTGGTGGTGATACTGTTGGTGGTTCATCATCTGCACAGGCTTACCATTATTCGTTCCATAAAAATCAACAAACGCCGTCGTCGACGCAGGTACTCCTTGTTGATGCTGGTTCATTATCACCACCGGTTGACTTTGATGATGACCACCAAACGCCGTCGTAGGTTGGGCCCATTGCACGACTCCTTGCTGCTGCTGACACGGATTCACCTTCAACTTCGGGACTCCGGTGGCTACCGGGATCTGGGTACAGAGCGTGTGAACGTCAAACTCACACGTCTGACAGGTGTAGCTAAGCCCGTCGGTGAAGCCTTTGCAAACGTCGCAGAAGTGTGAGGTTCCTGGGCGGTTTACGAGGACGATCTGGTGGTGAGGGTGGACGTGGGATTGGAGACGGTGGGGGGCGGTGGCGCAATGTTCATGGAGGTCAAAATTGCAGGCGGAGCATTGGTATCTTACGCCGTATCCACGCGTCTTGCAGCCGTCGCAGTTGAATTCAAACGCCATGAACAGTTTTTGAACAGGGTGTTGATGGGTAAAGTGGTGGATCTGAAGTTGATCCTGTTGAGGTTGAGGTTGAGATGCCAGTGCCGATGCCGATCTCTGCAATGGCGCCAT